ATAATTTCATAATTAATGTCATCCAACTTATTTTTATGAAGGGCTATTTTATAAAATTGTTTGATAATTTTATGTACGGGAAAAATAGTGGAAGCAAATAATTTACAAAATTTAGTTTAACTTCTAATTGCAATAAAATTGAAAATGTATAACAATGATAACATTTAAATACAATTGTTTGAGGTAAATTAATATTGTTTAAAAAATAATTACATTTTGATTATTAATAATAATTTTGAAATATACGTCATATTATTTTTATAACAATTATATTATAATTACTACAAATTATTGTAATTATCGAAATTTTTAATTTTGATTTTGGAATATACAGTTTTAAATAAATCGTATATGCAATAATCGTATTTATATGAGAAGGAATAATGAATTGAGTAGTTTAAACAAAAATATTTAAATTATTTCGAATTTTTAAATATAATTAAATAAGAAAAATTCATAAGTAAAACATTTCTGAATCATGTGAATACCTGCAAATTATTATTACACAGATTATTACGTTTTAGTTATAAACATTGTAAGTAATGAAGCTATTTTTAGTAATATAAGATAAAGTTTAATTTTTATTTTCTGACCTGTAAAAATAATCATAACAAATTTATAAAATTTTATACTAAGAGAATAGATTTTATTGTTATATTTGATTAAACAATTGTCAAATTAGCTTTAGTAAATTGTTATCGTAATTGCTGTCAGACATTAAAATTTCGAACTTATTTCTTATATTTGATTTTTAAGCCTATTTATAAATTATACAATAGAGATAATATTAATAAATTCTATTATACTTCTTCTATTACTGATGATGTAAAATATGACAAATTGAAAAAACTTCATTATTTTCCAAGCATCAAAATAAGAAAAAGTAGTTTCATTTCCTTCATAAAATTTAATGTTGCTATGTATTTATTACTTTTATAAGTAAACCTTCTTTAATGTTTCTATTTATTTAACATTTATAAATACAAGAACATATATCAGGAGAGAATGACTGAATTATTAGAATATCATTTAATTAGATATTTTTTGAAACTGAATTTTTTTCTTTGCTTCTTTTACAAATAACATTCATTTATATTTTAATACACATTATAACTAGTATAGATTTCATTTCAGTCAGTGGCATTTGGAATATTTATCTCTAGACTCGTATTGATAATCGTATTAATAAAATTATCATCTCATTTACGATATATAAATAGTAAATATTATTTAAACTATTGATTACTTTCTACATATTTTTGAAATTATTAAAGTGAACTAAGATCAAAAAAGGATTTGATTAATATTATATAATTGTAATATATTATGAAAAAACTGTCGAAGTTATTTTAATTTTCCTAGTTGATTTTTTTTAACAGGAAATAAACTAATTACCCACAGACATATATGTAAATATATAAACATCTTGATATAATGAAATAATATTATAATGAATCATTCAATTAACTTTTCAGTATAATATAGATTATAATAAATAAATTAATATCTCTGCATAAAAGACTTATAGCTTTTTCGACGTTTAAATAAATATTTCTGTATTATTGTGTAAAGAAATCATCATTATATTAAAAGATTAAAAATTTATAAACTAGCTGTTAAGTTTGTATCTATCTTTTACAAATATTTTTATACGAAATATTTACCAATCAACAAGAAATATATAAGTTTTAATCTCTTGATCATTAAAAAATAAATATAAAAATAGCTATGATAAAAAACGAATACAAGAATCTCAATTCAACTTATTTTATCTAAACGTGAATAAAATATGACATTGAATTAAACTAAAATGTTACATACATGCATATGTATATATGTTTATATTTCTTGTGCAAAAATTAATATATAATTTTTTTTTATCTAAATTGTGAGAAACAAAGATAATAATTTAAAAATTTATTATAATACATAATAAGAGCAATAAGAGAGAGAGAGAGAGAGAAGGGGGGGGGGGGTTAGAATCGTGCGTATTTATACAAAATGCTCTTTCATATTGGAGAAAAGGTGAAATTGTTTAATAATACGTTGTGCTTACTCTACTTTGGTTTCTCGGACTGGTGCGCTCAGCGTTCGTGCGAGTTCGACTCTTTTTAAGACTTTCATTACGACTCTCATTAGTCTCACCATGTGAGCTTTGAGTTTAACAAATATTGTAAATTCCATAGAAAGTTTCATATACAGACGTATTATAATATCGTCAAATTCTTACAATCTGATGGCGATTTCCGTCTTTCTCACTCGTTTATTGCTCTGAGTATTGATTTAATGGTTAGTGTACATTGCTATTAAATATCCAAAGTATCCACTTTACTCTATATTTATGAAAAATTTTTGTTTTTCTATCTTTCTATTTTATGCGTGTATTTTTCTTTTTTTCTTTTCCATTTCTTCTTAACTATTAGAGCTATGCGCTCTTATTCATAGATTAACCTAATATTACACTTTTCTTTACAATTTTATCTGTAGTAGCTCAAGATATTCAACACTTTTCTTATTTAATTTTTTGTTATTAATACTAAAATATATTTATATATAGTAGAATATGTATCATACTTCTTCAACCATAATTTTTTAATTTATTTTATCCTGCTTATAATATATTATATTTAAAAAGTATCAAATAGTTTTTAATATGAAAAAAAAACAGATAGATTAATTTATGTATTGAAATAAAAAATTTTTTTTTAATCTTTCATAATCACTACTTTCCTTCTGGAATGTTATGAATTAAGTAGCAAACGAATTTAATTTCACGTTTTCAGATTTTCAGATATAGCATGCGTGAATTAAGTATACGGAATATTGGTTTTAAACTTAAATTTTTATTATAGTGAAAGACGTTTAATTATTTCATTATTATAGTTTTTCATTATTTTTTATTACGAGGAAATTGTATTCTCACATTACGAAAAGTAAGAGAGTGTGAAGCATGTAAATCATAAATACAATTTCTTCATTTACTCTTTCGAATATATTTAATTTCTATTTGATATCAAGTGTGGTGAGGTAGATTGATTTATATTTATAAATAATTCAAGTATAAATATCGATTAATAAACAATATTGTGTATAATAGTACGCGTGTAGTTGTAAGTTAGTTTTAGCAAAAGTAAATCAGAGACTGGTCGAGGTTAGACGCAAATCGTCCTACAGATTTAAATCAACATACTTGTATTCATGCTGGCATGCACTTATGTACCGATTAAAATTCTACGGCAGTAACGGCTTTTCAAATTTTTTATGTTGCGTAATTTGAGTCAATGTTTGCAAATGATACATAACAATAAATAAAAAATTTGTTAAATTTAATTATGGAGCACATTACTTTTTATTGATAATGTAAAGAAAAATTATAACAAATATTAAAAATAAAAGTCGACAGAATATTTGTATAATTATTGATTTATGCAAATTAAAAAATGTCAAACTCTATTATCAGTATTTTACGATTATTGTGCACATCTGAAAATTTTCTCTATCATTCTGCACGCAACAATCCTAACACAATATATTTCAAAATTATCAATTTGATAGCCTCGTATTTACTGAATCTATCTTAGCTGTTTGTCATTATATTGATACGATAGCTTTAGAGCTCTAAAAATATTTATATTTTTTTAAAAGCAAATCATGTTAGTTATAATAGATTAATTGGACAGCTATTTTTACCGTTCATCTCCTTTTTCAACCTTCACTATTAAGCCTGTATAGTATTGTGATTAATAGTTACTCGTTTTTATATTTGGTTATTGGTAAAATGACGGTGGTTATTAAAGTATATAACTTCTTGGTAATGAAAGTATGGCAAAGCATGAAACATTGATCATTTGCAATTTAAATAATGCAGTATCTTGAGCTGAATTGTCATTTTTTTAGGCATAATTAGGGTAAAGCCAAAAAGCATGAGATATCAAGATAACTATTAAGGAAGTTTACTAAAAAGTAGATCAAGATGAATGTATGGAAAAAAGATTTCATGTTATCTAGTCAACTTATGTGACGTGCAGATGAGACGCATACAGCCTAACAACAAATCAACTCAAGTATGAGAGCACGAAGACATCATGAAGATAGCTGCGCTGATCTAGCCTACTCTTTCTAGTAAATATTTATTTTTATTTTACTTGGTTTTGTTTTATTCTTCTTAATAAACTATTATATATCATTTGTCTTATACTGATTCTATAATAAATACATTCAATAAAAATATCAAAAATTTAAACAATTTATCTATCTTTTACACATCTTATAAAGTTTTGAATTGAATTTAAAATATTCATATTATATTTTTAAAAAATTTTAAATATTATATTTTTCATTTTATATTTAGTAAACTACTTTGTTTATATTAATAATATTAATCTTTTTAAATTTTAAAGATGTAAAAGCAAAAGTATACATTACAAATTATATTTGTTCAAACAAAATATAAATATGTAAGATGAAATACTTGATAGCTTCGTTTCTTATAATTAAATAATAAATTATATCGATAATTATTTAAATAAAAGCAAGTAATTTTTAAAAATAAATATAAGAGAACATAAAGTGTGAACAATCTGTCTTTAAATATTATTAAAAAGAACTTGCACACTTATTCAATATTTGATTATCTATGCAATGTACTAATGGATAATACATTAAATACTTTAAATATATAAAATAATTTGTATAGAATAATTTATATATGGATAATGAAAATAATCACATAACAATGACAATCGTCGATTCGTACGATAAAAAATGATGGAAGTTGAAACGACTTAATGTTGTCCGTTTGATATTTTGAATTTTATGGATACGAATTTCTTTTCAAGTGTGAAAAGCTATTCTATTCCCAGGGTAGGCTTATAATAATTGACTGTCGAACATACGATCAAAGAAAGTGACATGAGTCGTGAATGTGTTGCTACTCGAGAATGATTGAGTGACTGAGTGGATCCGCTTGTGTTTGCCATTCCAGGCATCAGTCTTGAAAGATGCGAGTACGTGTGCAGGAGCAGAAGCAGGAGGAGCTCGAGCTCCACCTTGAGCTAGCAGAGAACCAGCAGCAGGCACCGTTTCGCGTACTTTCACCGGGTGGTCGCATCCTCTATGAGCCACGACCTGTTTTGCGCTCGCCGCCACCAACCCGGGCACCTGAGCCCTATAAGCTTACATCCCAGGTCGCGGGTACTAGCCGGAGTCAGCGTAAATCCAGCTTTGCCATAATAGCCGAGCCACAGCTTGCACCATTATCCAGACCTTCTTCCGGCAGGCTTTCGCCGTTCCGAGGTCGAGGCTTCAAGGGCCCACCGCCACGTTCAAGCTTCTCTAATGGGTCGCGTTCACCTCCGGAAAACTCGAACCAGCGTCCCAGAATCATACGACCAGGTAACTTCTTATAACCTCGCCCGCTTTCTCTCTCTCTCTCTCTCTCTCTCTCTCTCTCTCTCTAACTCATTCACTCACTCACTCACTCAATTTCTCTCAATTATTCACTTTATCCTTCCATGTTCAAAATACGCTTGCTCGCAGGCTCACTCTCTCAGAACAACAGTCCGAAACGCAGTCTTATCCCACGAGCTGAATTAAGTTGCTCTGCCTCCGTGAACAAGGGAACGTCGCCGAGATTTGGTCGACGTGCGACTCACAGATACACTTCCAGTGTTGGAAATAGTGATGCCAACCACCGACGGCCGTCGCAGCGAGATTTCAAGAGACGCACAAATCTTTCGCTCATATCCTCAGCTGCTAAAAATAAAATATCTAACAAGGTCTTTATTACTGAGCATATAATCAACTTACATAGTTTTTCTTCTTTTAATTGCATACCGGAAGGCTCATTTCCCATTCAAAATCTAATAACGTACATATTACTACGTCTGAAAAATCGAATCGGATATTCTCAATTAAGTAGTCAATACCAAGGTATTTACGGTCTCTAGTAGTTTTTTAAGAATTTCTTTATTGTAGAAATCTAGTATTTTATAACATGTGAGTCACAATAATACCTGACTACATATAAATATAAAAATAAATATTTATGACGAATCTCATTTAGTTAACTATATTAATAATATAAAAATATATTATACTCACACATTTAGTAATTTGAACTACTTTGTCGACTATTTTCCAATGTTTACAAAAAATTAAAATTAAATTAAATAACAAGAATTCCTTTTTGAAAAAAAGAAATATATGTATATGCTTTTGCTTTGCATAGCATCTGAGTACTCTAGCATAGATAGCTAATAAAGCAAATCGTAAATTTGCTCGAATATTAAATTATACTTAACGTAATTTCTAATTGGTCGTGTAATATAAGAGTCCATAAAATCAGCATCTATCTCAAGTTAAGTACATAATACATAAGTACATAATTATGTCAATAACCTTGATTTTTTTAAAGAATTGTAAGATTCGAAATTATTTATAGCCTAATTAATATATACTGTTAAAGGTGTTTAATTGTTTGTATTAGTATGCGAAAACTAAATTATGCTCGAAAATAATATAATATGACATTATTTATTTTAGAATCAATCATTATTGACATTTATGTATTTATTTATATGCGAATTCGATTAAAATTGTGACAGAAAATTTGCTCTATATTTAATAAAGTAGATTATATAAATTTATTATATTATATTATTATATTGGAGATTATACAAAAGTTTTTCTGTAAGACTATTAAAAAATCATATTCAAATAGATAATTTTGAATAGAATAATTTCTATATTTAAATTATATTTATACAAGTATTAAGTGTTTCTATAAAATCTTAATTATACCAAAAATACTTATAAATTTTGTTATTGAAATATATATATATATATATATATATATATATATATATATATATATAGATATATATATATATATATATATATATATATATATATATATATATATATATATATATATATATATATATAATTCCTTTTAATGAATAATTGGGAATTATTCTTAAAACTTTTTAATAATTGATGCTGTTATGTATTTTTTCTAGTAATTTATATTGATTTTTATAAAAAATTAATCAAACATATATATATATAGATAAACTGAACAAAAAAATATATATATAACTTTTTTTATATTTAACATAGAATTCTCCAATAAGCAAATATTATTTTCAATGCGTATTTATGCTATAGATTATTATATTGAAATATAATTAAATATAAAAATTTAATTCTTATATAAAATTTATACTTACTTGTTACAAAACTTTAATTACAAAATAATATATTTCTATAAAAGATTTTTTTCCAATTTTATTTAACGAATGATATAAAACTTATTTATGTAATAGAATATTGTGAAATAATGCTAAAATGTTTGAATAAAAGCAGGATATGCCAGATAAAATCATACAAAAAAATGTCGGTATTCAGAGAAGTGCTAGATCAGAAGAACGGCTTAATAGAAAATTATTGCTACCATTGAAAAATGTACCAGACGGTAAAAGATTTATCACTGCCAAAACACCGACATCTCGCCATAAATCCTCTAGCACAGAAACATTGGATTCAACATCGAAGATTCCTCTCAAGCAAGGTTCTATTACTGGTAATTCTGTCGGATTTCTCAATAAGTCATCGTTAACCAAATCTAAACCTAATATAATGAAGGATACTATTAACAAATCTGTTAACCAACCAGAAGTAACTCAAGTCCAATCCAATAAAGTTGATGAAATGTATAATGGAGAGTCATCTAAGGTAGTTTTTTTCATTTACTAAAAATCTCATTATGAAAACATTTTTTAATATCTTCAAACTATTTAATTTATTAAATAAAATTACTTTATTATTTATTATTATATAGTTTTTCAAAGACTTGAATTAAATTATGAAATAATAAGAATAATATCATATTAATTAATCATAATATGAAAAACATGGTTTATCATAAAATTATTAAAATTTTAAGTTATAAATAATAATTACATTGATTTTATGTTTTAGATTGTAGCTATTAATCAAAATTCAATAATGAATGAGGTTATTCAATCAACCAAAGATAATGATTTAGGTTTAATCGACCTTTTAAAACAGTCGTCAAGTGCAACAGGTACTTCTAGCGTCGTAAATACAACCACCACAACAGCTGTTCAACCACTTCAAATAGACGCTTCGTCAATTCTTGCTGAGAGTGAACTTGTCACAAAGTTAACGAATTTAGAGAAAATACAACAGAATCTTGAGATCGAAAATGAAAACCCTGATAGTCGAAAGTTTTCACATTTAAAAAAACGTGAAGAACATGAAATAAAATTGGATCAAAATCAACAGTCGACAATGACAAATAACATACGTAGTCAAATTATGACAACCGACTTGATAAAGGATGAAATTAAGGAAGATAATAAAGAAACTAATTCAAAATGCAGCAACATTTCTCAAACAATGGTCAAGCACTTCGGACCAAATTCTAATGATGAACAGAAAAGTTCTAGTAATACTTTACATAAAAATAATGGACTATATCAGATTAATGAGACAGAAAATGTGATGAATTCAGCGTTGGAAATTGAAAAATCTAAAGAAAAATTAAATAAACGACCTATGGTTAGAAAAATTCATCATATACTATTTATATAAATTTTACAAATTAACTATTTTAAACTTGAAAACAAAACATTAAAAAGAAGTAAATTTATTTAAAATAATGCTATTAGATCCAGGAATATTATATAATCTATTTAGATAGAGCAAATCTATGTAAGTTTAAATTTTTTTTTGAAAAAGTTTGAAGCTCAATGGTAATTTGTAAAAGATCTAAAAATAAGAAGATAGATAAAGTTTTTCTTTAGAATTCTTTTCTATTTGTAGAAATATATATATAAACATGATTCATGGATATAGTGAAAGATATTTGATGTAAATATCTATAATCAAAGAAATACACATCATTAATTATTCAAATACAACAAAATTATACATCGCATAAAGGCATAATATTAGAAATTTTTATTCACTGAAACGTAATTTTCAATAAATTTGCTTGAGTATAAAATATCTTCAATGATAACATTTTCTCATACCTTTTCAGTCCTTCAAGATTTAAATTATCAAAGAAAGAGAGATTTATGATAAAAGATTATTTGTTATATGTATCATAAAGTATTTTAAAATTTAAAAATCTTAGTTATAAAATAATAGACTTGAAATAAAAAAATTTATGTTTCTAAAAATTATATTTTTTAATTTTATTTAATTTCACGTATTAATTAATATACAAGTTAATACATTATAGTATTAAATTGATGAATTACAGGAAGTTGATGAAAAATATCATCAAACACCAACATTGGTATCAAATCAGTTGCAAATAGATAATAAAATTAGTATCGTAAAAAATATGAACAATTCATCAAACTCGACGAGTGATTCTAAAAAAGATTCTTCATCGTCAATGGTTAATAACGTAAGTTATGAAATTAACAACTCAGAGGAAAAAACAAACAATTCAAATAAAGTAAAAGTGAATAACGAGGCGTCGTTGAAATCTCAAACAGAAGCAATATCTTCTGACTCTCTGGGTAGTATTCACTCTACTGACACTGGGGTCAGTGTCAATACCGTACGAGGAATATCTTCAGCGAAGGAGAAAACTGGTTTACATCTTGTTAAACGATCCGACGAAATTGAAACCCTCAGCGGCAATATTGTTCACATCGATAAGAATGGCGAGGAAGTGTGAGTTTAATTAATATATTAATTTATTGTATACTTTTGCTCATTTTGTAATGAATGTATATACATATGTATAGTGCTGAAAAATGGTTGTAATCAAATTATCAGTAACTTTTACTCGTGTTTGTCAGTCATCTGCATATACTTATTGAGAAAAAATAGATGTACTACAATTTTCAATAATTCAATTATTATGTCGATTAATAATTTTTTGAAAAGTTGCATTATTAACTACGAAGCCAATTATATACTTATTAATGAAATAAGACAGTTATACTATTATTTGGTTTATTATCCTGTGACGGAATAATGGCTACAGTACCGAATGGTATAATAGATCAATTATGTTTTTGTTATGAAACTAAAAAGAAACAGTAGTTTCTAAAATTTGCAATAATAAGTGAATATATCGATATATAAAATAAAATAAAAATTTAAAACATTTTATAATAGCGCATTATACACTTTGCATAATATAAGCATTATAGTTCAATATTTTAAAAAGTATTACTGACACTTGTGCATCGCAACTTTGTGTTTTAATAAAAACTTGTTTTTAACAAAATTATATTACTGATTTTTTAAAAATACTACCATTTTTTGTTGAAAATACTGATTAAAAGTCATAAATAAGTAATTAAAGAGTAAATTATATTGTACGAAATATTTCTGTTAACAAAAGTGAACGAGAGTTGATAAATAAAATAGATTTATTAACGTCTGATGATTAGATCTTAATTGCGTTCATAGAACGAAGTTCAAGTCCCAAGGAGTAATAAAAGCTGAATTAATAAACTGGTAGGCGTGTAGGAGCAAAGGTCCAGAGTTCCTTCACCTTAGAGGCGTCGATGTGCTCAGCTTTATGAAGGCACAGGACTGGCAAACTACGCCGCGTGTTATCGATCCGCCCCTCCCCCCACCCCCCATCTACCGGCGAGGGGGTGGGATGGGGGATTACTATTTGCATCGTCAGCAAAGACGATGGCAGAGACTTCAACCTGTACTTCAATGAGTTCTTGGGGTTAATAAATCAGTATGCACTACGGCCATCCTGACTGTATTCGATAAATGCATTGGTTAGAACGAAATTATTGCGGACAGAAGTTTGGTAAATTAAATCTGACAGTTATTTGTATATGTTTTAGATAGTTTACGAATACAATATTGATATCGCAATTAAATAGACTTCATTTCATCAACAAATACTTCATATTGTTTAAATATAAAAAATTTATATATTAATTTTAAGGAAACATTGAGTATGTCACATATGTATACACAATATACGTAGATGTTAAATAATTTAACATTTTCAACTTAGTACATCATTTTTATAATATATTGCTATATACGTTAAATACATATAAAATCTATACTCTTTATAAAGTTAATCAGCACGGCGTATAAGATAATTAATATATTTATTTACAATATGATGAAATTCATAGTAATATGTATGTAATATATTGATTTAAAGTTTAGTAAACTTTACATTTGATGAAATTTATAAAATATTAAAATTGTTATAATAACAAACAATTTCTCTGGACAAAATGTTTTTGTAAAAATATAAGAGAAATTAAGAAACTATTCATTATTGAACTAAACTTTTCATAATTACCAATTGGTAATTTATTTTACTTCTTTTGATAAGTATCAATTTTATCAAATTATAGTTACAACTTTACATTTCTTGTATTTAAAAATGTAGTATAAAAGATAAAAAATTGTTTAATAACTATAAAAATTGTACTTATAATTTATATAATATAAAGCCGATTTAATTAAGTATACAGTTTTGATTTTTAATTCCATATAGATTTCTACAATTTTTAATAATATTTATGGAATACGATTGACATATTTATATTATTGTTATTTAAAAATAACAAATAAAAATTTTAATTTAATTTTCTAATTTCTATAATTATGTTAATTATTCGAGGTAGATAATAAATATTAAAGTAAATGAATATTATTTTTAAGTTATTTAAAATAATGAGAATAAATTTTTTTAATTAGCTTTGTAATCCAATTTTTTTATTTTTTCATTAATAACGAACACACTATTTAGCACATTACTAATTGGATATAATAGTTTTGATTTGTATTTCACTAAATATATATAATACAAGTACATTGTAATAAGTTATAATATGTTTACATGCATTTAAACAGGTATAATATATTAAAGTATGACTAATATGAGTTTAATCAAATTATTAATTGATATTTCTATTAACCATATTTAATAATTAAATAAATAACATATTTATGATTACGCATTACAACCAATTTTATATCTACAATCAGTCATTTTTTATCTAAATATTGAATAATTTTATCATTTATTGATCTTCTATGATTCTGATCTTTATATTACACAATATAAATATATACATGAATTAGTATATATACAAACTTATATAGTTTTACTAATTTATAATCATCAATTTATCGTGAAAATATGTATACGATAGAGAATTCTAAAATAAATAATTTAATATAGTTTTTCTAATACTCGTCTTTGGCTTTATTCTAAAATAGTTTAAAATAAATTCTATATACATATTTGTCGATAATATGCCTTTGAAAAACGAATTCAAGGTATTAATATTGTTAGATATTATAAATTTCATTATTGTATATAATATATTAATGTAACATTTTAATTTAAATAACGAAAAGATCTATAAGAAATAAACATTTTTTTTTTAATTAGCTCTTGTATTTTAAGATGAATATGAAGATGAGTTAAAATAATTTTAATATTTTAGAAAAATTTGTCTAGCTATACAAGTTTAAAGAATTGGCATTAGATTAAAATTTAAAGCCAAGTTAAATAACTTTGTTATAATTCAACTGAAGAAAACTATTATAATCCTATTTAAATGATTCCATTATGAATAAACTCATATTGGAAAATATTATTACATACGAAACATTATAGCTCTTCTTTGCTAATTCTTTGTGAGTGAATTTTACTTTATATTTAATAATCTTATCATAATGCTCTGTATATTTAATTTTAGGATAAGATTTATAATAATACAATCGATCAATATGCATTCATACATCTCCTCCATTTACTTATTTAACTTTTATAAATATCGGTAGCTCTTATTTTATCCAAAAGTTCTAATTGATGCACTGCACTTATGCTCTGGTAATTAATGTAGCTATTACTGTACTCATAAAGTGGAAGGTTAAAATGAATATTAAAATAATGAAGAAAAACGGTTATTAAATAACAAAGTTATTATCCGAATAAAAGGGGCAAGGATTTCTAATTTATAAAATAAATAACTTGTTATTCCTCGAAGGCATCAAATATTTTAATTACTAATATTTTCCGATTGAAGAATACTTTATCATAAATCATCGAGACTTTTGTAGAATACTTAAAATATTTTGTTTTGATATTAATGTTTCGTGCCTGATTGCGGTGGCCAACTATATTAACCTTAATTATTTTTTTTTTTTTTTTTGTTTCTTTTTGCACATAAATAAATAATAAATGAAGGAAAAAGGGGTTTTGAGCATGTGAACCACACTGAAAGACCACGGGCTAATATTTATTAATACAAGCCAAAGTGATGTGTAAAGTGTCGCTCGAGCAGGAGGTCAAAAGGAGTATTATTGATCTTGGGCTAGTTCATGGGGGACTGATGTATATAATAGTGGTGCAGGGGCCGAGTTAAAGCTGGGCAGAGTGTTTGCGTGACGAGTTTCGACCCTTCTCTCTCGACCAACCACTAGCACGAATGCTCCGCAATCTCCGAGTCGGCCAATGGTCACTTGCCCACTCAGACTACTGCTAAACAAACTCAGCGAAAATATACATTTTCATTCCTTTATTTTACTTCGCTCATCTTCTTCTTGAAGTATCTGGGCATCGAGGACGTTAAAGATCTTGAGAGATCTTTCTTTTTTCTCTGGGGGAACTCCTGGCGTAGTTGGTTAGTAAGAAGTATTCATTATAATGCAATTACGCAGTTACAAGCTCTCACAAGAATATTAGACGTGCACTCTCCATAGCACTCTGCATTGATTTGAATTTTTACAGATTTTCTCACTTATAGAAACTTATAGAATAAATATAAACCGATATTTAAATATATGTCTTGTTATTTTTTGAAAAATACAATTGATTATAATATATAAGCATAATTCTTTATGACTACTGTTGCTTTATCGTTAAATGAAATTGTCAAATGGTTACGAATAATTTTTCTTGAATGAGTTCTCTTAGGACCTTAATCATAATTGAATAATTGCATAAATCATTTGGCACTCATCTTCTATATATAGAGATAATAGCGACGAATTATATAAATATATTTATTATATAAATTAAATTCTAATTAGTTAGATAATACTTATTTTTATGTATACATGGCCTATAAAAACATTTAATATCTTGCTGTAATTATATCGATTAGAAAAATTAATCATCTAATGAAAATATTCAAATAATTTCATATTAAAGTTGTATATATAAGCGCAAAGTAATATAATATATGTAATATAACATATTTAATATATTTTATATTAAACGAAATATTTTTTTATTTTATTATAGAATATCGATTGGTATAGTCGACGGTACCAAAGGTGTTCATATTCCAACTTCTACTGTAACTACGAGATGGCAGAGATTGAAAAATCGATGTTGGAGTAGGTTTGGTTGTAGGGAACAAAACGGTGAAGTAAAGGATCGGTTTGGAAGGTATTGTGGTTGCTGGTCGAAGATGCGTTGCTTCGCCTGCAAACGTGACCCCAAGATTCAGCTATGGCCTAAGAAACAAACCAAGGGCGTCTCTACAATGAAACTTTCTTCCGAACAACGAAACAAGCCACTTAGTCAATGGGAAAGACTTAAAAATGCTTGCAGGTTCTGTCATTGAATATATGCTTTAATATTGAAAATCTTAATTAATTAATTGTTATTACAATTACTTTTATCTTACAATTGTTTATAGCTGTATCATTTTATAATCCAAATTGTGACGTGTTTTTATCATAATCTATTTCATTAGTTTTCGTTTTATAATCTATTAACGATTAAAATTAAAAAAAATCATGTATTAACACCCAGGCATAAAAAGCAGCTAAATTTGAAAAAAATCACAGAATAATGAATTAGTAATGTATTTTAAAAGTTGATTTTTAATTTATTTTTTATAATTTTATATTTTTATAACAAATGTTATAACAATATAATTTTATAATTTTATAACAAATTTAAAACTTCATTTTAAAAGTTATTATTGAAACTTTAAATGAAACAATTGCATAATGCTACCCAATTAAATAGATAATTACTCAATTTTATTATTCGACAGATGCGCAAAAGTGCACGAGGGTCGATGGTGCAGTTGGCGACGACACCGATGGCAACAACATCAGGATCGACAAGTTGGATCTGCAGATCTAGAAAGGAGCTGTTGTTCAGCGAAAGAATGTTTAGTTGATATCTGTCGAAAATTTATTTCTTGCTGTAAATGCAATTCAAAAAAGTCCCAACGCGCAAAAACTATTCGCGCTAAACATAGTTTGACCAGCGTAGCTGCTCCGCCACTATCGGAGGTGCAATAAATTGCCATTTTTTTTTTCCATTACACAGTTAATTATTCGTTCGATTAATTACTTTTACAGGAAACAAGGCCTAAAATACCAGACGTTTTAGTCGAACATAATTCGCTTATGCGAGGCGCAATTCCTTGTCTTCCGGTACCTGTTGCTTGGTTCTGCCTTATGTGGAATGTTTTGTTACCCGGTTCCGGTAATCACTTTTACCTCCGACTATAAGAGCCAACTTTATATAAACTAATTATGTTCAATGATTATTTTACAGGTACTATTTTTAGTGGATTTTTCAATATTTGCTTGGGGCAACCGAGATTTTCAGCAATTGCAAGCCTCAAAGCCCGATTTGGTGCTTTAATCGTCAATTTTGTTATAGGCATTAGCCAATTATTCACTGTACTTTTTTGTCTTGTCGGCTGGGGCTGGAGTATTTGGTGGGGTGTTATTATGATACGACTAGCTAGTAAGTTCCCAACAATTAATTATTGGCTATCATTATTTTATTTTACACCATTTAGTGAGAAGATGGTTGAACAGAAAAAAACATAATTTTCTATCTTCTAGAAAAATATAAGCGCTACAAGGACTCGGAAGCGGTTGTGAGTGATCCCGAGGCCAAAGGCGGTCCCGATACTGCTACTCTTCCAACGCCAGGTGTCCCCACACGAGGTCTTCGAGGAATTGAACGTATTCGTTAAAATATTCTTCAGCAGATTTCTTCTTAATCGATCGCCTATATATTTTTTGAGAGAACAGGATTTTATAAAACAAATCTTATTTTAAATTCTCACCTCCTACTAACTAACATATCTGTATATTTACAATATAGAGTAGAAGTTTATATTTTTTCAATACTATAATGACAGTACTCTTTGTCTATTGATATAAAATAACATTGTTTGCAAATATCTGAATGTAAAAATCCAATGTGATTTAATGTTTAATGAGCTATATATGCCGAATAAGGCATTTTTACTTAAAAAAATATAGTAAATATATTACGAATATTAAAATCACGAAAAAAAAAATATAAAATGAGACTAAAAATGACAATGAATAATGAAGCTGTATTGAAACTTTGTTTCGCTTTCAGTGAAAGCATATTAATTTTTTAAAATGCACCATTATTAGATCCAAAGTGAAACGAAGTGAAATATTTGGCAGAGTGCCAAAGTGAAGAAAATATTCATGTTGTAGTGGTTTTTTAAATCATAATCAACCAGAGCTTTGCATTTTTTAAATATGCGTTTCGTATTTTTACATACTTACTGAATATATGCAATTATGATTGTTTATGTATATATAATTAGAGGTATATTAGATTATATATCACATTTTAAAGTATTTGTCCTTGTTGTTTATTTACCGAACAATTTCATTAATTTCATTCCTTAAATTTCATGAGTTATTGCCATTTTTTATACTATGTATACAATTAGGTGGTGTTAATTTTAATGTTCATTATAAATATTTGATGGTATTGTATTAACGATAAAAAAATATATTTTTGATGTATATGTTCTTTTTATAATTCAATAATCGAGAAATAAAAATTAAATGAAAATTAATAAATTGATCTTCAAAAATTAAAATTAGAAATTTTATATATAATAATTAAAAAATTTAATTATCTTTTCATATTTTCTACATGTACAATAATTTTAAGAACTTATATTTTCAGAGGGTATTTCTAAGAATGATATTATCAAAAAATGAATGAAAAAAAAGACAGAACATTGATTATTAATCTGTTTAAAAATAAATCTATTAATTTATTAATACTGTACGCGTATTAGAAGTTCCATTCATTTTCAATAATATATTCTAAATAGAATAATAAGAAATTATCATTTTATTTTTAATTTGATAATTAATTTGCGAAACTTAAGTTTTATTTAAAATTGAAATTTAGCTTTATTATACAATTATATTAGTTTTATATTTAAAGTTACAAAAATAACGATTATGGTGTTTCAATTACCATTCCAGCAATCAAAATTATAGATAATTACTAAAAATCTATTGTTTATTAATATATTAATAGATATTAAGAGAGAGAGAGAGAGAGAGAGAGAGAGAGAGAGAGAGAGAGAGAGAGAGTAAGAGAGATAGAGAGATACTATGTTAACAAAAAAAAAAAAAAAAAAAAATTTTAAGAATAACAATTATAGATAATAATAGAGCTCATAATGAATGCAGAGTATTATTATTCCTTGCTAACTTCATTTACTCGATTTTATTTTGGGTATTGAATTAATATTACCTTCATTTTCCGAAATGTAGGTATGAAATATTTGAATAGCTGGACTGGTTCTATTTGTATTATATTCTGTAAGCTAATTTTCCGTTTGTAATTTAATGTGAATTATTAAAAAAAATTAATTTTGTTACGTATTGGAACTATCATTTCTTATATTTAGATATATAAATATATAATTATAATAATATTTGGTTATATGAAAAACTTAAATAATGATTTATAATGATTTGTTTAAAATATTCTGCGGTGTCCATTATTAATATATAGTATTAATATACAGTATATAAGTAAATAAATATTATGAGAATTATCAGTATATAAAAGAAAAAATAATATATATACAAGTTTTGCAATCAGAGAATATAAAATTGTAATATTCAAAATTCAAGATTAGGTAACACTAGTGAATTGTAGGTCGATTTAAAAAGATTCTGATTGATCATTATAAGCTTGATAGCTTTCATCAATACATTTTCAATTATTGAAATTATATCTCGAGTAATTTAAGATTGACTTATTAGAATAAGTATCTTGGGATGTATGGAAAAATGCCTATAAACTATAATAATATAAAGAATGTTTTGCAAGTTTTCTAATCGTCAATTTTGATATTTATAAACAAAAAAATTCTTATATTTATTGAAGATTTCATTTCAGAGAAAAATAAGTTCATTACACGGCAATACATGCTGTCGTATATATGCATGTATGTATGTATATATATATATATATATCATTATAGATTAGACTAATAAATTTAGGATTAGAATTATTGGAATTAAAATTTCATAATATGAATTTGAATTTGTTTTGTTTAATAGCATCAATGATTTTATATATAAAAATTTTAACTATAAAACAATATTTTTCTTAAATAATTTCATTCGTTTTGATAGATTTTCATAGATTGTCAAAAATTCAATATGTAAAATTGCATTGCAACATTAATTTAAAATACTTTATAATTAAGTAATTTTTTAATTCAATTTTATGGTGTTATATAAAAATTTCTTTATTCTAAACTAAAATGTTGATAAAGATTTTAAACATTCCTTACCCAAATTATTAGTAAATTTCGGAAAGAAAAGGTAAGCGCATTTCTTATCCAAAAATTAAATCTAGGAGAAATTTGTTTCTCTCAACTAAATACCGAGATATTGAAATTTTATTCCACTGATTTCTTTACAATATCAAAAATAAATCAAACATTTACATTATAATGTATAGTATAAAAGTTCTGAATGTATCATATTCTAGATGTCTTCCGATAAGACCGATTCAAAATTATGGATGAAAGTATTTCATGTTTTATAGAAAAGTTATTAAAATTTATGTGTTTAGAACATGTATTTAATATATATATATATATGTTTTTTAATTGTTGCTTAAAAAAATTTTTTATACTTGAATATTAAAATAAATATTATTTCTTTAAGTTTATAAGTTGAATCGTAATCTTACCTTATTTTCTCTCCAAATACTCGGAAAAATGAAAAATTATTACATAACAATTTAATGTACCACAAAATTTCTTATCCCTTGATTTGTACTTTTTACATATGTTTTGGTGTTTTCTAGGAATAATTTAATCCTCGTCTCTGATGATTGATTAAATTATTGACCTTATATATCTTATTGTAGAATATATTTTATATAACAGCAATTGTATTATTTAGAAATGTAATTTCATCCTTTTGAAGAAGCTTGGATAATTTTCGATAATCGAGCGTTAATGAAAGCACTATACTTGATGAGTTTTTTTATAAATCTAAAAGCTTTTCGTGTAAATATTCATTTCATATATGCATTAGTGCATGCATTAAAACATTATTAAATTTAAATCATGTTTCTTTTGACAATGAAAAAATAATATTTGTAACTGAGAAAATATCGTTTAATTCTATACATTATTCTATATTATCTGTCTGACTTTAACTTAAAAAATATGAAGTACTTTCCTTTAGTGTCATTTTATCATATTGAAGTTATAAATGTATACATTCTACACGTATGCATAAGAAAAAAATACTGATGTAACGTTTAATAAGTTGAAGTTTAAAATATTTTTTAAAAATAAAATATTAAATATTACAGTAACAATGTATTACTTAGTTGTATAATGAAATATATAAAAATAATATTTTTTATAAGTTTATAAGGTCTAGTTTTAACAAAAATAATTGTTTAATTTCATTTATTGAATTAATAATAGTAGATTATGAAAGTAATTTTTAATAATGGTAGTCTGAATTGGATAATTTGGCTGTCGTGTTGATAATACACAAGGGTAAAGCTTATATTTCGTTTAGTAATTCATATAAAATACTGGCGTTACAATAGTTATTGCTCAATTATGATAATATATAAATTTCATTTGAAAAATAAGAAAAATAAGCTGTCACCCTTATTGCATTGGATGGGTACCATTGGTATATTTTTTATGCATGACATGATGTGGGTGTTAATGAATTGAGTCATTGACATTGCATACATTCGAGTAGTATATGTTTAATGATGTGACTTTATAATATATGTTATTATGCACAAGTAGATATTTGTTATAATAATCATTGTGTTACAGTGTGTAATGTGAATATTGTATAATAGATTTAAGAAGGACCATTACAGTTGCGAGAAACTTAAAATAAATCTAAAAAACAGACTACAAATCTATGTCGATATAAATGACTATACAGCGATGTAGTCTAGCGTTGTGTAATTTTTCTATTTTATTTATTTATTCACTGTTTTTTCTTAATATGCAGCGCTAGTTGTTCAAGCATTGGTATAAAATACTATTTCTTTTTTAATATGTTCTGTCGTTAGTGTTCAAATACTCATGTGTGTGTATGCGTGCATGTGTGTGTGCGTGGGTGTGTGCGTACATATACGTATAGCAGCACGTACCTATGTGAATTTTTTAAATTAAAACTGAATTAAGAAAATATTATTCACCACTAAAAATAATATAGCAATTAAATTAATTAGTTAAAAAAAAAAAATAATAATAATAATAACGGTCTGTACGCTTGTATATAAAAAAAAATTATATAAGATATTACAGCAAAAAATGTTTCACTCTGCTTGTAAAAAGATGTTTATTCTCGATATTGGGCTGTCTAAAATTATTAAAAAGGATTTGAACAATATGAAGGGCATTAGGATTTGGAAATCATTATAATCGATATTTTAAAATATAAGTAAACAATACGCTAAATACTTAGTATAATTTAAATATGGATATGCAATAATGTAAATAAATTGTTTTGTATACTAGTATATATATGGAAATTGTGCTGTTGTGTACAGTGTGTAACGAGTTTAAGTTTTTCTACTTTTTTGTTTTTTTCTTTTTTCATTTTTTCTCGTATCTGTTTACATCTTACACGTTACACATATAAATAAGCTGCGAGTTTTTCATTTATACTTGATAAGTATGTCAAGTGTATGCTGCAGTTTCTTTATGTTTGTATTTTATTTTATTTACGTCTGACTTTTGTTTCATGTATTTAGTATTATTATAAGAAAA